TATCAATATGAGAATAAATACTATGTAAATAAATATAATTTATTTTTATAGTAAAATTTTAAAAGTAATTAATTTAAGATATAGACGTATTTGATTGGAATTCTAATTACAATAAGTGGTCACGGAGTATTTGTATCTCTGCACCACCCGCCAGCTAACACCGTTGCATCGTTACAGAAAAAAAATCAACCAGGGTAAAACTAAACAAAAAGGGTGTGAAAATGACGTTAAAAACAGTATAAAAGTTATTCCACACCGAGCAACACATCATAAATCATGATTGTAGACTATTATCACTATGCCATAACCTAACTTAAAATTATTGTCAATGGTTCACTCCGAAATTTCTGACAAAGTCAAATTGTCAATGTCAAATCACACACTAAAAGTAAACAAAATAACAATGTTTTATAAAAGTTTCGCCGGTAAGATTATTGATGTTATGTGGGTAAAATGTTTAATCAATAAATTCAGTGTACCTTTCACTTGGTGAAAAATTATGTAATGAACTATGTGGGTAACATAAATCCACTAGAATGGAATGACCATCTGAACACAACAAAATGATGAGTAACATTAATATAACAAAACTGCAATTGATACAGTGAGTTACTAGTATTTACATTTAATGGATAAGCACAGTATCACCCCAAAAAATCATGTCGTTTAGTAATACCTATTTGTTTCTTGTACGCAGGTCATCACTTGCGGCCGTTGGATATTTGGCCAGAAACGGGTCCAACTCATACATCGTGGCAATCTTGTGTCTGCTTCCATCCTGGGTCCTGATCACGATGACACCGTTCTGGGTCCAACACGATCTGACTCCGAAATTAAGACGCGCCCTGCCAAAGACGACTTGTCGGGTTTTAGTCAGAAACTCTGACCGAAATGGAGGAGCCCTTCAGACCCCTTTTGGCCCTCCACACTCTTCTCTTGGCAATGCTGCCAAATCTTTCCAGTATTGCCCAAACAGCCCAGTCTATGACAGGCCTTAAACAATGTGGGCACAATTTTGTATAGTGAAAATTTGGTCTTCAGTATGTCCACAACCACTACGCAGCAGTCTACACTGTCCGTTTCCTTGACTCCATGGAACAGAAGAGCCTCCCTCCAATACCGGGACTCAGCATCATCAAACTGTTTGACGCAATCTGCAATTAGTTGATGTAGCATACCAAACAAGCCATGACAAACTTTCTGAAGCTCCGGAACTTCTCAGCGATTCTGGTTAAGGTGTCCTTAGCCAATCCAGCAGCCTGGATCTGTGCCTCTTGATCATTGAACTTCATCTGGATCCTCTCCTCCATCATCTTGTTCACCTTTACGACTTCAGTGAACTTTCCCATGACTATCAAGTAACCGCTACAGTGAGTGATATAATACTTGTGCAGGTAGTGAGCTGGCTTATGACTTTATTTCAAATGCATATAAATCTTACACTAATGAATTTTGAATAAAAAAAATACTATTGGGGTTATTTAAAAAATCCACAAAAAAGCACGTCTGACGTGTATTGGCGCCTACCCGCGTTATCGGAATTTATGACATTATGACATGTAGTAGCTACTGTTACAATCGCATGTAAGGACATTCACCATTCAATCAATCAATCAATCATTTATTATTTGTAAAACAGGTAACAAAGATACAGATCTTAAAGGTAAACACAGTGCGCTTTGTTTTGTCTATGCTAAGACAAATATATATTGGAGGTAAGTTTACTTTTGTGGCTTACACCAAAAAATAAAAATGTTGCAATTAAAGAAAGTGTCATTATTAAAAAAAGTAACAATAAAAAAATTACGTTAGTACATAAGTAACTAATGAAGTAAATAAAAATAACAGTGTTGGCAGAAATTTAATCATTTAACAAATCGTCAACTGTGTTGTCAATTAAATATTTTTGCAAAGTTTTCCTAAACTTGTGGACAGGTATTTGTTTTATTTGATCTGGTATTTTATTATAAATTCTAGGAGTGATACCAAAGAAGCTTTTATACATTAGAGCCGTTTTACATTTTGTGTGACATACTTAATTGATTAAGTATTTAGTATGCATAGAAGTTTCTCTGATGTCTGATAATTTAACAAACAAGTTTAATCTTCTATAATAGTCTTTACAAGTAGCGCTGTTTCCAGAATGTACCATAGTGCACTACTGTGTGCATACCACGGGCTTGTTGAATCTGCCCTCAGGTATAGCATTATTTTTTGGAGGCAATTCCACTGACAGAGACATGGTATTCAAAGTGCATAAAAGATGCATACATGCTATGTTCGGTATTCAAAGTACGGAAAGCTGTAAAATCCTCACGCTACTGTCACTGCATATACTCGTAACAACTTTATTTGTTCATAATAACCTGCATGTATTTACTCATGTACCCTCACATAGTTGTGGGAACTATGGAATAGACTAATATTTTAGTTGTAATTGTAGTAGTGTAGTAATTGGATATTCTGCCGTTGTGACTGTTAAAAATAAATAAAAATTTATTATGCCATTTCTTAACTATAATCTTTTGACATTGTACCTTTATTATGTTAATGTGACTTTAATTTTAATGTTTTATGTAATATTTTAATGTCTATATTCAATTTAATAAGTACATAGCATAATATTGATTTACTTGTATATAATTACTTAAAATTTTTTTTATGCCTTAAGATTAAATTTTTTTTATAGGTGTAAATATTTTAATGTTTAGTTATTTATATTTTAAGTTGTATATATTTATTTAATTTATTATCAATTTAAATTTGAATTTTTAAATACTTTGTTAATTCATATTTGCATGCCTCCTGGTAGCTGTAAGTGAACTGGTAACTAAACACCACATATTGTATTACCCATAATTGCAAATAGACTACCTTTATCTTTACATATCCTGCTCTACAAAGAATCCTAGCACATTCAACAAAGTGATTAATGGCAAAGAAGATAAATTGACAAATTAAAGAACATGCAATGTCCCGTGCTCTGCGGCGGAATAAGGAAAAGTGCATTTATTCCGAATGACAAGTAAGAAAATGCTACGGTCTTACCCACTCGGCCTTGAATTAAACAAAATGAAGACAAAACCAGTAATTTTGTGTAAACTGTTATTATTGTTATTATATTGGCAGACAAAAGATTACTTTGTTGCCAGTGTCGGATTAACAACGTAGTATTTAAAAATACCATGTACAATGAGCCCCGTACAAAAGGGGGCTCTGAGTCACTGAGCAGGTACTGGCCCCACTGCACCTTGAGTACTCTTGTTAGTAAAATAACGCAGTAAGGATCCAACCACACATACGGTCACGACATCCGGCTTAGGTAAGATCTTAGACCTCTTTGTAGAAACCTCTAAAATCCTTCATCTCAAAATGGATCGTGATTGTGGCAACGATTTCTTCGCTGACTGTAAAATTGGAGACGACGACGTGTTCGAAGACTACGAAGTAAATTCCATAGCGAAGGCTGAGACGATGATAACAAGAACGAAGACACGATGAATATAACGAAATCTCATCCTAATGAAAAGGAGGAGAAGATCGCGGGCCGATGAGGTTTGGGCGGGCTGGTGCAAAACGAAAAATAATTGTAAAAAATTATGCATGCGAAAAGACAACGATACGATGAAGCAACAACATCAAGTGGTGTTCGAAGTCGGGAATCAATTTGTTGTTTATGTAAAATCACATGTAAGTAATGGTGAACATTTCTAAAACTATAAGCAATCTCTCGACGACTGTGGCTTACCAGGGTTATCCTAGCATTGTGTTTATATTTAAGTCATTGATGTGGTATTCGGTATGTAGAATTGAGATTGATGTATATAATATAACTTTAGTATGTAAGTATTATAATTTAAATATTGTATTTTAGATTTTAGTCGTTAATAAAAAATAAATTTCCATCAATATGTCCCTTTTTATTTCTTTGCTATAAAACCTTTTTCATGTAAAAAACCTATTATTTATTGTAAAAAAGTACCTGCCATACATTTAGAGTGATGTGAGTTTCTAGAGTATGGCATGTGGAAGTTAGAAACTTAACTTTACAAAGGATCTGATAACTTTGTGACAATACAAGTCTTGGCAATGTTTTACACAAAAATGATTTCGAAAAGACTTTAAGACGAAATTAACAAAGACAGGAACAGTGTTGAACTTTTATCCTTATGACAAAGTATGAGAGTCGTTAATAGCAAAACTGCCATCGTTTCGATAATGTGAACCAAGTCAGAAGTCTGAGAAATAGCGTACATAATTTAGCAAAACTGACTGTCTCGTTGGCCGAGTGGTCGCAAGTGCGACTGCCGGGCAATGGGTTTTTAAAAATCTTAGTAGTAGCACGGAGTACCTACTCACCCCTTATTACATGGGACTCATAACATAAATAGTGAAAAGTGGGTGTAAAGTGGCATTAAATGCCGAAATATGCACCTCTGCCTACCCGTTCGGGGATAAAAAGGCGTGATGTTATGTTATGTTTGTAATTTAGCAAAACTGCCATCTTTTCGATAATGTGAACCAACTCAGAAGTCTGAGAAATAGTGTACATAATTTATCTATTTTCGTAGTCTATAAGGAAAATGGCAGCTTGTTCCAAATCCATATCTATGAGTAGCGTGTAACTTGAACTCGAACTAAGGATAAGGACTAAAACAGTGATAGTAACAGACCTTGATTCAATACAACGCGGCGTCGATTTAATACTTTAGGTTTAATAAAATAGATTGCAAATTCTCGATAAGATGACGCCCGCTAGTCTTGTAATAGAACTTCATAATAAATACGATGAAAATCTTTGTTATTGTCTGATAATGGACACAAGTCTTACAAGGGCGACTGTGGTCAACAGGCGCTTTATAAATGTCAACTACGACCTTAATACAAGTAGAGAAAAGTATTAAACTTTTAGAAACGTTGCTTATAACATTGCTTAGGTTTTCTTCAGTCCCATGAACGGGGCTTGTTTTAACGGTGCAGTCTCAAAATAATTTACTCACCGTCCAGTTTCTCCAAAGAATCCAGTGGCATGGCTGTCGTCCACAGCCAGTAGGGTGCGGTACTTGTCTGCCAAGTCACGGAGACCCTTCAGTGGTGCCACAGTACCGTCCATTGAGAACACACCGTCTGTCACTATCAGCTTGATCCTTGCTTCACTATGAGCTAGGAGGTGCTCCAATTCTGTAGAATTAAGATAATTAGGCGTTAGTTAGATGTTGATGAATGGGTATCATGGAAGGCTACAAATATTTTAGTATCATTAAGAACGTTATTATGTAGTACCTACTTCTGTCCAGTTTAAACTTAAGAACGTAAACGTGTAGACGTTTGGATCGCAAGAACATTTGTCGGGTATTGAAACTTAGAATACAAACAAACATAAAAATAAAAAAAAATACAGTCGAATTGAGAACCTCCTCCTTTTTTTAAGTTGGTTGATAAAGAAGTTCTTTTTGAAGTCGATTAAAAAGGATGAAATTAACAAAGGAAACACACATTTTTATGATCTCTCCATAAAGCATCTAGCACAATAAGTCAAGGATTAAATTTATGACAAAACCACTTACCATTCAAATCTCTATGGGGATAACGGAACTTCTGCGCCTTGCAGAGTCTGATGCCATCGATGATAGAGGCGTGGTTAAGGGCATCAGAGAAGACTGCGTCTTCCGGGGTAAGCATGGACTCGAATAGACCAGCATTCGCGTCAAAACACGACCCATATAGGATCGCATCCTCGCGATTGTGGAATTGGGCTAGGCGATGTTCTAGTTCCTGTGGAATTAAGAAAATAACAACTTAACTTCTGTTAGAACCTTGGTGTTAGGTCACACGTGTATCCTTAATTTTTTGGAATAGAGATTAGAACGAGGACAGTGGCGTGAGTGACCTCCGCGCTCCGCTAAGCTAAATATGACACAATTTGATTGCTTTGTAAAGTGAACGCAAGGTGACAGCATCATCATAATAATATTACGTAGCGTTGATCTTCTTTATAGAAATTCTGTAACCACAAACCGAAAGTTTTAAAGATTTACCTTATGTATAGTTTGTGTGCCGCAAATAAACCGGACCGAGCTGAGTCCGGCACCATAATTCTTCAAGCCTTCTCTGGCAGCCTCTACCACCTCCGGATGATTCTAAAAAAGAACAGTTCCTACTAAGGTTTCGATTGAACAAATCCATAATGGTTTTATTTTATATTTAGAGACATTTAACATGAAACTCTTACCCCCGTATTTATAGACAAGTAAAAGTCATTACTTAAGCAAAAGTAACTGCTTAAGTAACAATTTTAATTATATACTTAGTTAAGAAATTGCTTGAGAATATAACTGTCAAACGTTTTAATTCTTAGCCAGGCACCAACAGGCAATTACTCTCTATTTTATATATTAACGTTAAAGTTACTGTAGTTATTTATAGTTTATAGGTAGGTAAGTACTCACAGAAAGTCCCAAATAGTTGTTTGCGCAGAAATTCAGGAACTCGCCTTCAGCACCTTTCACTGTGACCTGGAAAACGTGTGCTAATTAATATAAATACCTAAACATAAATATCTACCGACATTCATGTTAACTACTTAACACCAAGTGAAATGGTGGAAGTGCAGATCAAGTTAAACGTTCGCTCTATAGGAATGCCTTGGTACTCGTAATTTGAAGATGGACTACAAAGTGATTATTCAGCGAGGTATCATCATCTTGAATCTTGAGTTAAAATGTATACTTAGCTAGATGTATAGTATAACAGTTCTTACTGTCGAACGGACACTTTTAAATGTCCCATTGTTTCAAGACAACTGTGCATTGGTTGAAGACAGATATTCATTGTCGACAATTATATTTTCGGACAATTGGAGGTCACTGCTTCTGATTATTTTCCATGGTTTTTAGCCAAAGATGAACTCGCCAGATCTAGCCTTTTAAGCACCTCACCTACCGACGACGTTACTAATTTGATACTTAGTTTAGATTGTTGTGAATTGTCTAATCTAATTCAATTTAGGTACATATTTTAGCAACAGTACATTTCACTCTTAAAAGCAGTTTAACTATTTTCTTGATCATGGAAAGCAAAAAATCTGTCCGTTTATCTGTCTGACTGGCCAGAAGGCTGGCCTACTTCAGTCAAAACACAACAAACCATAAACTAAAATGTGTGTGTATAAACACCGTTTACCCAGTGTGTGTGTATGTTCAGTATGTACACCGCATCACGGACGCGATAACTGAATCGATACACTTTAAAATCGGTTAATGTGTGCAAAAATAACTGTGCGTCAGTGCCCGCATGTTTTTTCCTGAACTTAACAATTCAAGTTTACAGATGTTGGTCGTCGATTGAATTTTGAAACGCTTAGATATTGTGTTGCGGTTTCTTCTTGGTGTTATTTTATTTAAAGAATTGTTTCCATTGGGCTAATTATTTTTTTATGAGGAATGGCCATGGTAGAAGCCCAACAAACAAACATAATTTAACGAAGGCTTATGTTATTTAACTTACCTCATTAATCCCTAAATGATCGCTAAGGTGATTTCTAAAGAGGCAAAAAGTACCCATATAAGTAAGGAGGCAACACCTTTACTTCTAAAATTCTAATCTTTTAAAATACCTATAATGTACATAATTTTTAATCATTTAACATACCTATTATCAACAAAAACAAACAGTAAGCTATGTCGTCGATTTCTCAAGGTTAACGACTCAGTAGAATATTTTACGCGCATTTTTGCCTCTTCTAAACAATAACTTTGGAGGCCATTTTGGCGGGCTTGGCGGCCATATTTACGTTGGACCATATTTTACCTAATTGATTAAAATACTGAGCAAGTAGACTTTCGTTTTTCAACTCGAAATTCATCTGAATAAATAAGTACACAATAATAAAATTGATGTCACAAAAATAGACTACAGTCGGCTAGCGGGCTGGGTCTGGAGAAGCGATCAAGTAACGATGTTGTCGCCTTTTATGTTACTATAATATTGTTTGCTAAGTATATTTAGATACATACAGCATACACATTAAAGTCAAACAAGCGTATAAATTTAGAATGTTTAACGATGTAGATATTATTTAGGTACCTTCATGATGTGGTACAACATAGGTACCCATGTTGTGTACCTAAAGGACTTTCCATATTTAGTTCCCAGTTCATAATCTGGATGCCCTAAGCTTGTATAATTTGAAACTTCTGATGTGATGAAGGCCAGAATAATTGAAGGAAACAATCAAGCACTTTAATCAACCATAATAAAAATGTCCATCAAAAGCTAACAAGCCTTGGATAATCTCTTATCTTTGTAAACGTATTCAGTACATGCATAAGACCTCTTTAAAAGGGAACAATAACCTTTTAAGAGTCTGATCAGATAGTCACATGTTCAGATAGGTCTTTTAACATTGTTATCCTCTGTACCGTACAATAGCTCTATATTATGAAGTATTATTAAACGTTTCAAGAATACGTAAGACATCATGTCCTGTTCATAAAAGCCCAATCTTAATAAACTACCTGACTTCTGATGGTAGATTTGGGATATAGGTATTTTTATGGAGCTTATGTAACAAATGAAGGCAATGACAGATACATTATCTCGAGCCTATATTTCATCACTTTCTACCTAAGTTCCTGTAAGTTTATGTTTTTGGGAAAAGCCCACCATAACCTCTCAGAACCGCTGCAACTTCTATAGTATAGCTTGGATTTACAGTAGGTATATAAAACACCAGAACACTGAAGTACGATGCTTCCCAGCCAGATTATTGGGTTCCTTTCAATCTAACTACCAGATAATTTGACATGGCCTAGATATCTTCCACATAAATTACATCAGTTAAGCAAAAACGCAATGGTGCAAGGTCTGTTTTTCACTTACCTTTGTATCTTGAGGAGAAGTAATAATTCTCTCGTGTTTCCATGTTTTGGCGCGTTTTATCTCCCGTAACCGATCCTCGAGCACGTCCCGTAGCGTGGCGACTCCTGCGCGTTCTTTATGCAGCTCGTGGAAAGAACGAGACTGAACAGTGCCATTGAGACCTGGAAGATGGAAACTTATTAGAGTGAGCAAAAAAAACGTTGCCCCACACTAGGATTTTCTCCTGTGTCGTGGGTGCGTTTACAAACATACAAGTTCACATACACAATGACATCCAGACCCGAAACAACAATTTGTGGATCACACAAAGTGTTGTCCCGTGCGGGAATCGAACCCGCGACACGTTGCACGGCAGCCGGTTGTCCAACCACCGCACCAACCGTGCAGTCAAATTGCAACTATTATAACTTTCAGTATCAAAGTTCTTCGCTCTTATGCACATCTCCGTAGCAATTAGAAATCAACTCTGGTTGACTACCAGCCATAATGAATAAAATATCTCTGATCTAGGTTTATGACGGAAACTTAGTAAGTACTTAGAAGTCATGTCGAATAGGTTGAGATCGGTTATTAATTTTGAGAAGTCATCATGTACTCGGTGTATCATGTAAATCATCCATTTTGGAAAAGGTACTTAATGTTATTGACAATTGACATTTTATGTACCAGTTCCGCAAAGCCGGTACAACCTGCGTAGGTAATTGAACTTGTTGTCATTCCAGTATGAATAAGTTGATGTTGATATTTAACTTGGAAAGAAACTACAGCTGATTTTGGTTATCACTCATCATAAACCGGCACAGGCACCACTGCACTACGCGTTCGATGTTCTACTTAGAGTAGTTTACCTCTACAATATAAAGTAATATGTAATGACTAGTTCAACCCATCATGCAACTTCATCTGGATTTTTCTAAAATAAAATAAAAGTAGCCTACGTTACTCTTTAGTACCTACATTATCCAATAAAAGTCCCGTCAAAATCGGTCCAACCATTTCAGAGATTTATAGCCAGTACAAACAGACAGACAGACCAAAAATCGTGAAAAGTATAGTTTTGGTATCTGTATCGCATTAATATGAATATTAATCATAATATGTACGTAGTAAAAAGCGGTTATTTCAATATTACAAACAGACACTCCAATTGTATTTATCTGTATAGATAGATATGCAATATGTGTCGCGACCAAGTTTAGTGTGAAAACCGGTGTTCCAAGGTAACTAAATATTTTGTTTAAGTAAGTGCCCTGAAAATATACTATTGTTCTCAGGTGTCTTATTTCATATGGAAGTCGATATTAAATACCTATCATAGACAATATTACTATACCCAAGTAGTGCCTATAACTACTCTTGGGTCTGAGTGATTTTATATTGAAAACTTGTACAATACTTATTTGATACAATTTCAAATGGCAAGGAGACCATTCTTAAAGACGATAATTTTCCTTTCAAAATTCGACCACCCTTTTATACACCCAGAGGTGTACTAAATTTCCAAATTTCATGAAACACGTTACCAAAAGATTTTATTCGATACACAGCTAGAGCAGAGGCAGCTAGACTCCGACTCTGATAAATCCGAGCCTTTGATTCTCTGATTAACGTGGAGATATAGGACAAGCCCTTTTATGTTGAGGAGACCCTCGGCCCCTAGGAGACATACGTCTTAAGAGACTCCATGAAATGGACTACTTCATAGAACACCAATGGACTATTGAATAGGTGGAGTTTCACGGACTATTGTAATATTTGTATTCCAAAGCCAGAAATGCTCGAAAGATGAAAAGAAGAAACTTCTTAAATCCAACGTACTTATCTCTAATCGTATCATGCTCATCCATCACATAACATATGCAAACACATAATATGTGGGTGGGTTTGAACAAACAAGTAAATAACTGTTATCTATACTTAAACAGCTCAACCAATTATAATGCAATTTCTTCGTACAAGGTCTCTTTAGATAAACGTACTATTATGTTACACACGCCACACATGGGACATGTGAAGAGCAAAATTATCTGCTTGTTACTGTACACATTGCGCCTGAATCGCTGAACGGATTTTGATGAATATCTCATCAGTCATAGATGAGATGCTCAGGGAAGAAACAGATTTCAGTGGTTTTTAAAACTATATAAAGCAAATAAAAAGTGCCTGAAATATGTAAAAATGTCATTCATATACATACGTACACTGTTATATTGAATCACTATTCATTTAAATAAGTAGGACAAACAAAACACTTGAATCAATAAATTAAATTAAAATCGTAATAATATTGCTTCCTTAATTCTGTCTGTATTAACTTAAGAACGAGTCTTTTGTCTCGTGAATAATAAATGATCAATTTTGGTTCCAAGTCACTTTTGGTAGGTATTATCAGCTCTACCAATACCTACACGGAATGTTAATTTAACACGCAAACACTAACGAGGTTTTCATTTGACACTTTATTACTGAATTTTCTTTCGAAGTCCTAACAAAGACGAATCACCCACTATTATTACGTGACCTTATAATGTCGTAACAAAATATAAGTTGGTCTGTAAAAAACCTGTAATCCTTGTTAAAAAAGACGCTACAAGGTTGTACACGGAGACAAAAACACTCACTCTGTCGACAGTTGCACACATTTTCAAAATATTAAATTCACACTCACTTTTTGAACGATATTTTTTGCATTTTTTTGACAGTGGATATGTGAAAAATTGTTGAAAGTATTTTAAAGTAAGTAAATAAATACTCACAGTTGCGCAGGAGTTGCGAGCGGAGCGCCATCGCGACGAATGGGGGCGCGGCCGCCGGCCGGTGTTGCGCGGGCGCAGAGCAACTCTTTAGCAGACCAGTCACGCAGGTTGTGCTGTATCGTGTGTTCCAACATAATTTTGTTTTCATTACATGGTTAATATATCGGAGTGCGCAGTAGACTAGGTAGAGTCTTATTTTAAAACGCGGTTTTTAAACATGGACGATGTGCATCGTGAATGTTTTGCTATTTTGTATCTGGTTATTGTTAATTATTTCATAGAATACAAGTTGATATACAATTCAATTAATATTAGTTGAATTATTTTTATGTAATGTCGTTCAGAATTTTTTTAGCCGACCGGTTTTAACTGCATTGGACAATAGACGATTAACACGGTCTGTGGCCGATGTTATTAACAAAGGTAGGAGCCATCGATCTTACAGGAAACTTCTAAATGTAAATTAATACTAATTTCTACAATAAAAAGTTAAGGATAATTTTGTAAAATTAATAATTATCTATTAAAGTATTGTCCTTGTCCTATTCCGAGTGCTCATCAGTCCGCTATAGCAATCAGAGGACGTACATTTTATCTGCACAGCACAATAGATAGTCAGTACTATACTTAGCTACATTATATAGTGCTTGCTTATGTAAATGTAGACGCCGAAAACATTACGTCATGTCTAAGCGTAACCCGACTACATTGCAAAGTTTTTAATATTATCCTCTACTTCTAAAATTATCTAGTTATCAACAAGGTATTATGTGACAATGTTTTTGATAATAAACTACGCCCGGTTTCTTCCGCTGCTCGGCTTCTTTTGGTTGTAGCCTGTTTTGTAGCCCATGTCATGATATCATTCTCCATACCTTCAACTATATTCTTTTAAAAATTACGGCAATTCGTCGCTCCGTTATGCCGTGAAAGACGGACAAACGAACAGTCTCGCAAACTTTCGCATTTAAAATATTGCTACTTAGTTATTGTAACCTATCTATGAAATTGTTTGTTTGCCAGTTTATTTCGAGAACTTATAAACCCGATTGGATTTTATTCGAGTTCCATATACTGGGTGCAAATTGTTTATAAAAAATAGTCTTATTTTTGTACTTATTTTCATCAAGGTAGCGTAGCCAGATTTCTAAGATTACTTTTAAATAAGAAAGAACTACCATGTATGTATGTGAAGTACCATGGTGCTTAGTTGGTATCTACCTACCTGTTACAAATGGATGAGATACCTGTTCCTAAAAGGTTTTGTATCCCTTCGTATTCGTAGTAGGTACCTACGGACATGTAACAAAACTTTATAAGTGTGGGAGAGCCATGCTTCGGCACGAATGGGCCGGCTCGATCGGAGTGATACCACGGCCTCACAGAAAACCGGCGTGAAACAACGCTTGCGTAGTGATTCGTCGTGTGGCTGAGGTTACCGGATGCCCCCCGGACCCTTCCCAATCTCCCCAATTCCTGAATCCCCAACAATCCTCAAATTCCTAATGCCCAAAAGGCCGGTAACACACTTGTAACACCTCTTGTGTTCCGGGTGTCCATGAGCGATACCGATTGCTTACCATACTCATGGTGATCCGTATGCTCTTTTAACGGCTTATCCCATAAAAAAAAGAAACAGATAAGAAACACAACGATTTCCTCAAGTCCCGTGAATACGTTTACAAACCTTTCATCTACACAGCAGTCGTAAACACAACACAAAACAACCAGCTGACAGTGACGGTAGCTTATGACGCCGGTAGGTACCGTCGAATATTTTTTATGAGCGGGAACCGCAAAAAGTCGTCATCATTCATTGATCATTTTGATGCATAATCTAGTGGCCTATTTATTAGTTATACTCAGTTACGCCTACGTTATAAAATAAAAGTAATTTTTTGCTCAGATTCTGTTTCACTACGACAACCTTTACCTACTTAGCGGAACGCCTAACGGTTTGCTGGGGCTCCAGCACGAAGAGCATGAGTAGGAACGGGGTGGTTTTTAGTCAGTAAGCATCTGACACTCCCTCTCGCTTAACCCAAGGCGAGAGAAGTCATTTGGATAATGTTCCCCCTTCAATAAAAGGCTCTAAGTTAGATAAAGAATCAATAACTTTTATTAGGTATAGAATTTTTTATTGATACTGATATTTATTTTACAAATGTGTGTGTAAGGCACTTCGGAAGACAAATGAGGATTCAATTATAAATTCATTCTAAATGTGGTTTGTACTCGACCAGCTTTCGGCTTAAAGACGACTCTGAAACCAAATAATTAAAAGTTAAGTACCTATTTAAAACTTACATACCTTCACTACAAAAGATAATATTTTTAAAGATTGTTATCTTAAAGATTGATTTTTATAATCTTTGTTTGATGATTTGCCAAGAAATTGTTCTTTGCATTGTATTGTGGTGTAGATACGATGTGTATAAATGCTTGTGTTGGCTCATATAAAAAACACCCAGCTTCAAAATCCCTTCTTACCTCAGGTCCAATATGAATAGCCAGCATCATATCATAGTCGTTGGCTCCAACAGAGATCTGTGCCCGTCCATCGTTGCCCACGGTGACAGTCTTGCCCGTGCAAGAGTTGCCCACTTTCTCACCCGATATCACGTCACAATACCTACCTGCTGGCAAGCAAGTCTGGAAGCAAAGAAAAATAAATGAATGTATGATTGAATGAATGAATGAATGAAATGAATAACTACCGAGATTTGTCTAATAGATGTCACTACGTGCCTAAAGCACTTTTGTCCCCTTTAGTACCTAAGTACTCAAGTTTATTTTAGTTTTAACTCAGTTTGTTAAATAGTTACCTATTAAATGTGATAGAGTTTCTTCTAATCTCTAGTAAGATTACTTTCATTTTATTATTTTGATCTCCTAACAGACAGTAACACACTTAGGTTTCGTTACAAAAGAATTTTGGTATATTAGAAATAAATTATGTATCTAGTAAAATTATTTACATGTGAACTTCGATACCACAGAAAAACTAAAAGACGACTACAAATAATACTTTTATCTACCTGTAGATTCTGGTTAAGATTCCAATAATCATTATTAAAGGCAATGAAAGCGTTGCCCCCGCGACAGAAGGCGATCTGGTTGCTTCCATTGTCCCACCAGTCATTGATGCCAGTGTTTCCGGCCGCGTTCCTGAATGCCACCATTGCGTAGATCTGACGCCAACGATGCTGACATATCCAGCCGTTTCCACAGGTTCCATCCTAACAGAAACCAACATTGCACATAGAGTTTGTTCAGAGCTGAATATTTTTCTGGAAAGTAAAATCTAAAAAATCTGAAAGAAGCTTACTGGCTTCGAGCGTTAGGATTGCTAAAACATTTACTTACTGAAAATATACATTTTAAGCGGGTATTGCTAAGTACGTCAGTAGATATGGTAAACTGGTCATTCATAATAAAAATTGATCTAATAATGATCGATCGAACATGGTAAGTTAATAACTAAAGGAATTGATCGAAAACATTTCAAGTAAATAACTGAAAATTATTTGCATATTAATCGTAATAAACAATACAAAATATTCCAAAAATAACTTACAGAATTGATAGCAGGTGAAATGATGTTGCCATTGTTATCCATGGGAGGACCGACTTCGCTGTCCCAGAAGTCAAAACTGCTCATAATTTGAGGCTCTCCATACGGATGGGCGAGTAGGAAGGCGATAGCAGCCTTATAGGGACGAGACTGTTTGTAAGTAAGGACACCACCACCACCGCCGTGACCTCTCTCATTGTCATGGTTATCAATGAAGGTCAAAGAGTCTTCATGGGCCAATAATCCCCATTGAGGACCCCAACTTGACAACCAACGGAGTTGATTATTGCCTCTGAAAGCGTTACTAAGCTCCAAACCCACTTTGAACTCTGTTACAGCTCCTATAGGAGTGTATTCGTCTCTGCTAATGGCTTCACTGCCATAGTCAATGACTTCTTGGTAGATGTAAGGACGGGCATTGGCTGGGAAGCCGTGGGCTGTGTTGAGGTTGTGGAGACGATCGTAGATGACGCGGAGGTCGCTGGGCCACATGTGCTTGGCTGCGTCGATCCTGAAGACCATAATACAGATTTTATCACCCAGAATATTACTATTAACCCCTCGAGCGTCCTTATGAGCACCCGGTGGATCATAAGAAAAAATGCTCCAAATGTCATGTGTGCACCCGTTGGATCATAAGGAACGCGGACGCTCGACGGGTTAAGCAGAAGAAAAAATAATGGCAATTTTTTATTGGAGATTATAAAACATTTTTCAGTGTTCTGTCTTACCTGAATCCAGCTACGCCCAAATCGATAAGTTCGTTCATGAAGTTTACGATCATGTTCCTTACATGTTCATCTGCTTGATTCAAGTCTTTCAGTCCAACGAGCTCACAGTTGCGGACCTGTATCGCGTTTGAAAAGTTATCATAAACGTTTTGGAACTGATTTCAGTTACACTTTGGCTTAAAACTTGGTGGTCTAAAGGTTTAATGGCTCGCTGTTCAAGCATAATGACACTCACTACTGGCATCGAAAGAAAATCGTGTGAAAACCAGCTCCATTACAAAATATGACAAGGTTTTAAAGAAGAAATCAATGTTCATTCCTTCGCGTTTGCATAAAATTCGGTATTGAGAAAATTACAGGGTTAAGACAATATTCTCCACAACTTACTCTCCAAGCATCAGTAGAGTAATCAATATCGTTGATGACGCAATGTGGCCAGTTGAAGTGCTGTCGGTTGAAAGGCACGGCGGGGTAGTACCAGTCGGAAAACACGGCAGTACTGCCTGCTGTGCCAACGTTCTCTGGAGGCTCGCCCGTCATGTGGTTGATCACTGCGTCTACGTAGATCCTGGGGCAAATCCGACGGATTATTATAGAAAGATTCCTGGACACTCAGTGCAAAGACGTTTGATCGCACAGGTGGTGCGGTGGCTGGGCAGTTAGTTGCCGCGCAAAGTGTCACGGGTTCGATTCCCGGACGGAGAAACTCTTTGTGTGATCCACAGATTGTTGTTCCGGGTCTGGATGTGTATGTGAACTTATATGTTTGTAAACGCACCCACGACACTGGAGAAAACCATAGGTTTAACGTTTAAAACGTTTAAATAACGTTTAAAAAAACATCTTTTAAGTTAATTAAAGTAACATCCAGGCCAGGCGGCGCGATTGTCACTCGCGTGCTTGTATGTGTGAGTGGCTACTATTAGGTATTAAGTTTAAGTGTTCGCTATTCAAAATATGCCTTTAATCAAACGCTTCCTATATGGGACTTTTAACTGGTGAAAAGTGGGTGGTTGTAGGTACTACATGTTTAAATTTGTAGTTTTCACGATTTTATTTGGTTTTTAAGATTTTTTTATCCCCATTATCTGATTAGATAAAAGAAAAAGAAGTTAGTTTTGAATGTTTTCTTCTTACCTAACGCCTGCAGCATTACACCGTCGCAACATGTTGGCGAACTGCGCCTCATTGCCGGAGCGAGTGACCAGTTTGTATGACATCGGCTGGTAACGCTCCCACCACGGACGGTTGTAACCCCATAGCACTACATTCTCATTAGGCGGGGAAATCTACAAGTCAATTGTATTGTTGAAGACACATTTTCGAACTAACAAAATGGAGAAAGAAATTTGATTGGTGTGCAAAAAAAATAACAAAAAGAAAACATGGAAGAAAATTTTGATTGATTGCAATGTACGTTAAACAAGATTATTTTTCTTTGCTTAAACTTAGTTCTCAACTGAAGTTCAGTTGCGAGCTCATTTCAACTTCGACCTTTTTTTTGTTTTAATCATAGATACATTTGATCTAGCAATAAATATAATACATAATTACCTTTAGAACAACTTATATTCGTCACAATACGTAGGTACGTAATGAAACTAAAAAGCACTGTTGAAGTGAAGGATCATTTTTGGTGTACCTACTTGCCTGATCCTAATAAATCTAAATTAAAACATAATTATTGTTAACACCCTCACCTGAATACCACCAAAACCCCTTGGTCCTAGGAACCTTTCGCACTCATCAGCGATGTCATCCCACTTCCATTCGAAGAGATGGACATTCACTGACCTATTCGCTGCATAGTAAGGGTTCTTGTACGCGAATGCGGCTGAGGCGATGATCACTATGCCGCAGAAGAATGTCAGCCACCCCTGGATTACAAAACAGTCAGTATAATAGATAGACAGTCATCATTAGCATCTGGAACCTCCATTGTCAAATATAAGGGCCCTCTAGATTTCTAGAAGGTAATTCGCAATCCCCATACTCTTAGCTAATACGTGTATTGAAAGTGCAGCAGCAGCATTACAGTTCTATGTTCTTTTCGTGACCTACATATGTTCGAATCAATTGTCAAGCGTACAGGGATTGCTGATCAGAGTTGTCGTTTAGGGTGTACCCGACCCGGATCTAACAATACAATTAAGAGATAGTGTACATAGATCTAGAAAGACACAGTATCGCTTGATGAGCGTATTTGGATAAATATGGCTACATAAGGCACTCGAAACCACGTAAATACTAACAGGAAGCAGTAATTTTTTTTAAATCTTTATTAACTTTATAGAGAAGGACAAGACAATAACTGATTAGGCATTTATTGAAAGTCCTTAATAATTTTACTATAGAGACAAAATTAATTGTTTTCATAGATTTACCATCTTTCCGCAACCTTATAAAATTAAATGATATTTAGGCATTTATTAAACGTACTTAACAATTTTATTATAGTAACAAAATTAATTGCTATAGACTTACCATCTTTCCGTAACCTTATCGAATTAACGACCACACAGTACTAATAAGCTTCGCATGAAAATAAACATGTAGCTAGGAGTGTAGTCATTATTATTCACCGATAAACAAGGCAAAAGTAATAATCCTTTTTCATATCAATACTTTAGACCACATTAAAATCATGATTAGGCAAACTTTTAAAATGATAGGTGTTTCTTTTGGACATAGATCCGATCTTTTTAAGTGATAATTAGCCAAGTCAGATAACCGGATTACGATATTCCACAAGCCGAATAGAGGTTATTAATCTAAAATCTCATACCTATTATTTCATAATCTTAATTACTCTTTATTCAGATTTTATTGATATTATTGTTAAGTAATAGGTCCTTTGGAAAATTACATTATTGTTGAAGAGATGAAGAAGTTAGGTAGTTGCAAAAAACCTTGTATTGCTTAAATTTTTAAAATCCCGCTTGTATACAACGTGTTACCAATTTGTAACAGTAATGGCTAATACAATTTATAAATAAGGATTACATAAAATAAAATGTAATTAAAATGTTTTTTTATCCTAATTCTGAAACTAAAACAATATTTATCTATTTAGAAGCGCTAGAGTAGACACTGCATCTTTTACAATTAAAGACTCTGGCAACTTTGCTAATTGCGCACTCTAGTTGATTTTTTTTTAGATCTATGGTTCATCGAATCATTCATTTCGTTCACTCACTCTTCAAACTTTTTCATTCATTCACTAAAGTAAACTTTCCCAGTGGCAGACGTTGAACAACTTGTTTCTAAATATTAATAATTTATTTATTATATTTTGCTATTTGCATAAATGTTACATGTGCCATTTACAACACCAATTCATTGTTCTTCTAATACAAGTTATGGACCAGTGAACACTCGAAACTGTATCTAATTTGGAGTTTTTGATGTTGTTTATTTTTACAACTTTGTAAATTCCTCTTGTCGTGTAAACAATTTGTGAAAAGTTGTGAATATGGCTGGCAAATTCTACTTTGTAGTAGCGTTAGTGTGTATAGTGCCGATTGTTTACGCTTGTAACGAGGCTATTTGTGCCAGTGTGGTGTCAAAATGTATGCTGACCCAGTCATGTAAGTGTGACCTGAAGGATTGTTCCTGCTGCAAGGACTGTTTCAACTGCCTCAGCTACTTGTACAGCGAGTGCTGCAGTTGTGTTGGTTAGTACTTCACTTTTATAAGCATTTATCTACCTCACAAAAATAAATCAAAACTTTATTTCTGTGCTAATTACTCATTTTATATTATAAATAGCAAACTAATTATATTTTCTAGTTATTACCCACTCGCTAGTATTCTAAACTTATCCTGTAAACCTTATTTAAGTCACTTACATGCCTTATGCTACAATGTGACCTTCCACTAACTGTAATTTCCAGGAAAACTCCATTCATTGTAACAATAATGTTATTTGTGTGAATACAATGTGTATCATTACAACTGATAGCCCAACAATAACATTTATTGTCCACAGACATGTGTCCGAAACCGAATGACACACAAACGGAATTATCCAAGACGTCATATGTGGAGGAATTAGCAGATGGTGTGCCTGGACTCTTCGCTGCCCTCACCAGTGACCCGGACCCTCAACAGAGGTGGCTGTCCATCACATACCCAGTAGACATTGATTTATCAGCTTACAGAGCAGTTCCAGAGAAAACAGTTGTTTTCCATTTACGTAAGTATCTCAATTATATAGAATTAATTAATGACTAATTAAATCTGTTTTGATGAACTATTTCTACTTAATGTGTGTTATGCAAACAAAAATGTAATAGTAAGGAACAAAAAATTGATAATTATAGGAGTCAAGGGACTGTAATAGTCTGTGTAACCAATTATTTTTAATTTACTGCTTTTAAAGATGCAATTTAAAATCCATACTATTGAACAGAATGTTGACAACATGCATCTTTTAAGAAATTCAATTTTTAAACTGATTTTTTTTTAACCACAGATAGCAAAATATTAGTTAAAACAATGTTAGATGTCGTAAACAAGTCTATGAGTCATAGAGCAAGATTATAATTTATTATACCTCTCATATATTACCACTCCTCCATAATTAGCATTAGTATATTACTACTGATATCAGATTACTACTGTTTATCATGTATTATATTTCTTTAAATTAATCTTTAATTAGTTTTGCTCACTAGGAGGTCACCAGGTGGCATGATTTGAGATCTATTTGATATTAAAATTACAAAAAACTTGTAAAGTAGTATTTGAATTTTATTCATCAGTAGAATCAATTCTAAGGAATTGTGGGTTAGGCTAATAATATTCCAATACTGGTACTTTTCAGGACAGGATAATAAAATTAAGTAGGTACAACTAAAAGATTTGTTATATTTATATTGTTTAGAATTCAATCCTGAATTCATTGATGCGATTGGTAAAATTCAAATCAAAAACTCTCAACTTCTTTTTACTATGATAATACAACAAAAAAAAAATGTTTCTTGAATGGCTATTATTGAGTCTCTTATTAAATGTTGTCAATTTTACGCTAAACTACTTAAAAAGTCAGAACACACTAAGGAGGAAGACAAAATTGAAAGAAAGTACAAAAAAGTATATTAGTCACTTAACGAACGCAATTACTTTAATGCGTACCGACAACGTCCAATCGACGAAGGACTTTAAAAAAAAACAAAAGAGTCGTCAGCGCCGGCGTCCCGTGGAGAGATGCGCATGATTCATTATGGTGGAATGTAAACAACTACCTGCACCTGAGATGGCTTTATTAACGGCCGATAGATATAACGGGCTGATGGGTGGTCCATGTTACGTCACTTACCTACGTTCCTAATTCCCCGAGTTTCGACTAGCTACTACTACTCCCGTGGAGTTTCAGCCGCTCTGCTCGGCTCCTATTAATGGTAGCCTGATATTTTTTAGCCTATACATTTCCTCAATAAGTGGGCTTTCCAACAAAAAGATAATTATTCGAATCGAACCAGTTCATCCGAAGATTAGCGCGTTCAAACAAACAAACTGTGCCCGTAACTTCGCTCATACACATTGCCTTATTTATATTTACCTCCTTTAAATTTCTCCAGAATTGCACAAATGTTTTGTACATACATCGAAATTAGCCAAATCGATCACAACAGTTCTCGAGATTTCTTGAGTTTTAGGTACTTAATTCACTTTATATTTCCTTTCGTATCGATTCGAGGTGACTCATTAGTCACATTGGTCCCTAAAAGGGATAGAAGTAACTAATTTCAAGTTACTTATCCTATTGTAATTAAGTTCAATTTGCTTGCCTTTTTTGCAAACCGAGAACTACTCCAGACTCTCCCAGGTTCTAAAAAAAAAAACAAAACTCCAGGCTCTTTATTATTGTTTGCGTCGCTCATTTGTACCCAAACAATATAGCTCTAGACAAAACACAGTTAGTTCATTCTCTTGAATGAAATTAGCTAAGTCCTTCAAAGGAATTTAGTTCCATTGCTTGGTGCATGAATAACAAATTAGTATTTTACAACTATTTTAAGAATAACTTTTTCATGATAGAAGCTTATAGATAGTTACGAGATAAACATAAGCAATACATATTCAACCTCATTTTCAGAGCTTCTCTCCTGGCACCTGTTTGCATTAAGCCTCTTTAGATCCCTAAAATTAAATTATTGTAAATTGTGATATTGTTTGTGCTAAAAAGAACGCACTACTTTCTTCGAAGCACCTGGCTAGACCTAAATTATTCAATTGATTTCCTTGAACCGATATAAACAATCTCTTCAGATCTTCTTGTTTCTATTTTTGTCCATATAAGACTAGGTATAAAAAATACAAATGTTTAGGGATGCAGATTTTTTTTTAGTGGGACAAGCCCGCCACAGCCTCCCTTAACCGCTGCAACTCCAGTAAGCCAGGATCTATAATAGATACAACCATGAAAACATAGAAACAATGAAGTCCGGCGTGTCCCAGAGACATAAACAACCGTCTTGAATCCTGCAACGAAATAAATTCAGAAGATATTATTATAGGAGATGAAAAAAAACTATAGTTTACACTGCAATATTTGTTAAGACTGGCGCCCGTTTTTTTGAACTATCATAAAGTCCCAACTAACTGTAGTTAGTTGGACTTGCATGCTAACATTCTAGACATTCAATCCGCTTCTATGAACCTTATATTTCCTATACAGAGAGCGTGGAACAGGAGTCGGAGCCAGTGAGCCGGGACATCGTGACTCTGAACTGCACCGTCGCGTACATGTCGCAGTGCATGTCCTGCGACAAGTGCCGCGCGTCCTGCAGGTCCATGGGCGCTAACAGCTTGAGGTGAGAATTCCTCAAATTAATCGTATTCCGAAATATTGCTACTGTATCTTACTTGTTGGCTACTCGATTTAGTTTCAGTCAGGGAATTTCAGTGAGTATTTTTACTTATAAACATTGCCTGTTATTTGGTTGTTGGGATATAATTTGATTACGTAGTTAGGTATTTCATCGATGGTTTTGACTTCAATTTTGTTTTCGACCTCTCTACTTTTATACCTACCATGATTATTGTTTAGGTTTGTCTAAGTAGGTATCTAGTCATTAAACTCATACCTAAACATATCACAGCTACACTACTTTTCCATCAGGATGCATTTTGCACGCTTTATGAATTACGAGTGGAGAAGCTCATTAATACACCTATTATTACTTACTAACTACTTCCGCGCGGTTTTATCTGCTCTGCTCGGTGCCTATTGAGTGTAGCGTGATGTTTTATAGCCTATAGCCTTTCTCGATAAATGGACTATCCGACACAAAAATAATTTTTCAAATGAAACAGTAGTTCCGGGTGTTAGCGCCTTTCAACAAACAAACCAAGTCTCCAGCTTAATATAATAAATATAAAGTATATAGTGTAAGATAAACTCCTTTAACATTTAAAACAAGTTTGTAATGTATTTTACAAGCTTTCGTCTGACTGTTGTTGTTCAAATGTTCCAGATGGTTCCACGACGGATGCTGCGAGTGTGTGGGAGACAAATGTTTATCTTACGGGATCAATGAGAGCAGGTAAATAGCAATACACCATTTTTATTATGTTTTTCTCTCTCTAACAAAGACTTATACTCTTAAGTAACTTAAAATCTTATTGGAAATCTAAATATAAAATGTTTAACTTGATAATACATACTTATATTTTGTATCATGTATGATAGTCATAAGTCGTATATTATTATATCTGTTCTATCCTCGTCGTACGTCATCACTTACAACGTAAATCATAGTAATGCTTGTTCGAAAAGCTTGTTTATATCTTACACTTTAACGTGTAAACGGCTATTTCAGTATTTACGCTTAAATGCGAAAATACTGATTATCGCAAGAGATTGTTGTGACGCTAAAACTACAAATAGATTTTCAATATGGCTGCAAAATAATTTAAAATATCTAGAGAAAATATTATTAGAGTCTAGTAAAAATATGTCTAGATACTACGCTGTTTTGGCTGCTGCCTCTTTTTCGAATCGTTTTCCTCAGCGCTGAGGGTCGTGACCCTTCTGCATCACCTCCTCGCGGTTAATTGTTTTCCATTCATTCCTGTCTCTGGCGATCTGAATGGCGTTATGGATAGTGGAATCGAGTGTGGTGTGGATTTGTTCGGTCCATCGTGTCGGGCTGCGACCACGAAGCCTTTTTCTAACTTTTCCGGTCACAATGAGTCTTTCTAAGTTAGGCTGCTACAATTATCAAGGAAACGCAATATTTACACCATACACATAACCCATAACATAAACTTTATATGCATTTGGAGCTAAGAAACAGAGCCACTAACGTTATTTCTTTTTCATTTCTTGATAAGTATTTTCTGATACTAGTATTTTATTAATTAGTTACGTATGCCGTATAAAAGACAATCTAGTTACTTTTAAAACTAGAGCATTTTATTAAAAAAGGAATAATTGTTTAAAGTTATATGGATGCAATAAAATGAACTCTCCGTTTCTTTGCTCTCACGTGTAGATCTGCCTCGTTGGTCGAGTGGTTGCAAGTGCGACTGCCGGGCAAGGGGTCTCGGGTTCGATGCCCGAGTCGGGCAAAGTATTACTGGGTTTAAAAAAAATCTCAGCACGGAGTCTAGAATTGTATCCGGTATATGGCAATGGACTCACCCCCTATTACATGGGACTCATAACATAAAATAGTGAAAAGTGGGTATTACATGGTATAGTGGCCTTAAATGGCGTAATTTGCACCTCTGCCTACCCCTTAGGCGTGATGTTATCTATGTTATAAATACATAATACTATACTAATATTGGTTGGAAATAGTATGAAAGGCAGACAAGATTGCAGGCACACCTGCGTAACGAGGTCGGCTTGTTGATAGACATTAGCATAATATATTATTGAACATAGATTGCGCACACGCATCGAAGACGTATCGTGTTACGAACAGGTGTTGCCAATCAATTATGACTTGTTTTATTTTATTGATAGGTAATAATAATGATTATTTTATTATTTAATGAGATATTATTGAATGATGTTGTAGAAATAATATACTTGGGTATAAAAATCTGCATTTATTACTATAACTGAATGTCAAATAGGCACCTTATGAAATGAAATGAAATTAATTTTAATATTTTTATTTATAATTTTAGTCAACCAGTAGTTGTTACATTACATCTAAGCACTTACATTATATTATACAATATTGTATAATGAATTATATATTACTAGCGAACCGCCCCGGCTTCGCACGGGTGCAATATACATGTATTATACATATAAACCTTCCTTAAGAATCAACTATCTATAAAAAAAACCGCATCAAAATTCGTTGCGTAGTTTTAAAGATCTAAGCATACATATGGACAGACAGCGGATAGTGACTTTGTTTTATACTATGTAGTGATTTGAATAAATGTCACATGACCGTAATACCATATTTCTCAGTATCTAATTAAACATTAAACTTTGCAAAGGCCAAAACAACAAGACAAATGTCCTTTAACACATAGTTAATAAATAAACAAACAATAAATAAATATTTGTTCTCTTTATTTACAGATGTCTGGCATGTCCAGGCGGCAAGGAGACCACAGTGAATTCTCTGGACGAGGACCTTACTTATGATGACCTAGACTACGGCGAAGAGGTCGACGCCCAATCTGTATAAAGTACAGTCAAAATAAGGCTTATTGTCCATGTAACCGCACGCCTTCGTCAATGGAAGCTACCGTATTATTGCTCACTAAATGACGTTAGTCTGAGCCTCTCGTTCTTCGTCCAATAGGCAATTAGCTCACACCATTCATCATCAACAGCCTATAAGTGCCCAGTGCTGAACAAAGCCTCTTCTCACATGGAAAAGAAGGAATAAGGATTAATCGCTTGCTCATTGCGGGTTGGCGATTTCAAACTCATAATTAGAAATTATACGTCCAGGTTTCTTTATCGTTTTCCTTCACCGTTTGTCTAAATAATCTTAGAAAGTACATATAATTTGGAAAAAGTCGCATTAGTACTTGCCGTTGGTAAGTTTCGAACGTATTTGGACGTTCAATATTAAAAACGTTAGCCCATTGACGATTACGAGACGAATGCTTGCATCTTGCGTAGAAAAAACGTGGCAATGCTGCATCACAAACTAACTACTCAATGAAATCCGATTATCATCATTTGTAGAATGCATGCATTCGTTAATTGACGCGTCGTGGACAGTAGGCCTTATCCAGTCAGTGGTTTCACGATCGAACATGGTTATACAATTTCGACTTTATTGCGTAATGTTTTGGTTGTATTTTGGATTGGTGTCAATGTTGATTCGTATTTTGTTCTGTGATACCGTTTTATGCTGTATGTTGTAATACATTTTTGGTCTTTCAATACTAAAACTTTAACCAGTTTAACCTACTTCTCAAAATGATATTAAACTCTGATGTATTACTAAACAATGTTAAAATGGTCGGAGTTTTAGTATTGGGACTTTTATACAAAATCATGAGTTATAGTGATACATTAAGGTTTAAATTACAACAACTTACGTACCTAAACCTACCACTGATCCAAAACGAAATCGAAATAACATTGACGCCCATTTTAAGCTTAGAAAGTAAAACTCGATGCTTCCAGACTGCATTCTAAATTTAAAAAAATACTCTATTTTATCTGTAGACTTTATGATATTGTATCATTATTGACGTATACGTCCTTTTTCGTAGTATTAGACTTACAGTGTCGTTGTATTTTCGACCTTAATGCGTTAGCATACATTTTTTTACTTTGACATATCTCTGTATTTCATAACCCAGTGTAATATGGACCTTTATATTTTTAATTAGAATTTATATCAGTAGTACATAACGATCATATTAAAATAACTCGATTAATTTATAACATTTACAATACAATTGAATAATGTTCGCCTATAATTTAGAATCTCACAAAAATATGAAGAAAAGGTATAAAATGAATGTAACTAATTTTATAGTATTTGTAATCAATAACACTTCTTTTAAAAAACAGTGATGGAATGAACAGACCTCTCGAATTTCCTTAAAATCAGTCGGTGAAGAATCTCACAAATTATTGACGTTTTTCTTTAAGTTTGATCTGTAATGTAGCTAAGCCGAGTGTAAGTTTTTTATCATATTTATTTACCTACATCTTTTACATACTCTCATTAGTATTAGCTTATAGTCACTGTACCGAGACTTGATTTTTCAATCATCGGATGACAGATAAAGTAAAATAAATTAACCGTGAAACACAGTTTCAGCTTTTTAAAAAATAACCACACAATTTTTTTACCCTCACTGGTTTTCCCATTGAATCAGCTAGAAAACATAAATAAAAATGTTTTGCTTTAACATAATATCGAAGAAGTGTAATCAACAGCTTTTTATTAAGTTTTATCTTACGATTGAAAAATCAATTCTAAGCCATAATGTAGTACATAAATTCGAACAAATATAAGTCTTCCGATACACCATATAAAGGTGAAAATTGTTTGCTAAGCATTATTATATTTTACTCTTCCGTCCCTAACATATTAAGTAGTAAATTATATTGAAATGATTAACAACGCCTATTTTAGTTAGTAGATTATAAGCTAATTTAATTAAAAGTACGATTTACTCACATGGACTATTTCAATTTGCTCATGAATAAGAGTCCCGTAGTAATTTTTACCCACCACACCTCAACCATCTCTTACCTAAAGGTTACTTAGATTTATGTAACACCCAAGCTTGGACTGTTTGACTGAATACCATGTCGTTAAAATTCACTTAGCTTAGGGGTTCTTTAAAATTTAGGACAGTTTAATAAAAACAGTGACTTGAAACGAGTAAAGCTTTCTGAAATAGTTCGAAAGAGTAAGTTCTATTTTTAAATAATTAGTATTTAAATAGATGTAAGCTATTTTATAATCTGTTGAGAAAAAGTCTCAATGTGCCAAATGTATTGCTTGTACAAAAAATGCCATTACTTTTTAATTTTTATTAATTATATTTTATGTAATTTGGAGTAGGAATCTTAGTGACATTTTATTTATTATGAGGTTATATTTCCATGTGAAGTTTACAGAACAACAAATATAGCATATAGAAAATGAAGTATTTGCTTTTAAAGTCATTACTAATCCGAAGCAACATTTTTTCCATTGCCAAGTTCATTTAGTTCACAAGTATAGGTATGAGCATTAGGGCTCGTACACAAAACTGCAATGCGATGGGATGCGAATCGCAATTAAATTGAAAACTAGGTCGTGATATGGATTGTAAAAAGAAGTATGCACTTTGTTATTACTTAGGAGATACAGGAAAAAGGAACAAAGAAAATATCAATCAAGAATCAATTCGCAAGTTCTTGCGATGCCTACAGGGAGCTCGCACTTTTTTTCGATGCGACGTCATATCGCTGTTTTTTTTACGAGCCCTTAATATATTTACTCTCATTTTAGTAGTAATAATTGTATTGTGAACGTCTACTATTAAACCAAGCTGGAATGCTACTTTGGATAAGTTTATTCATAATTCTATTTTGAAATAACTTAAGTCCATTGTTATAATCTGGTTTTGAATGTGACTTCGCATGGAAACATTACCTCAAATTTTTATTTTTTAAATCTTGTATTTCCGCCATAATTAGTACGTTTAGATAATCGAATTAAGTGCCTTTTTGATGTATTTTCGTCGTTTTATATTATACATTTTTTTATAATACGTACATATAAACTTTATGAGATTTATCGAATAAACATTTTATATAAGAATAATAAAATTGTGATGATTTTATTTAACAGAACAAGTAACATATTTATTTAGTCAGAAGAAGTAACATACATCAAATTAATAACAGTATTTTCAAATAAAAAATATTTACTATGAAACCTGGTTAAATGCATTTTTAAACATAATGTGGATTTGTACGCTACCAAGTTAAAAATACGCTTGTTTGAAAGGTGCATGTGAATTACATTATGTAGGTACCTATTTATTTAAATTTTCTATCACAATAGTGTTCCCAACGGATGTATTTCCATTTTACATACAAACAGCTTTTTAAGTCAAAGTCACAATCATTTATTTCAATTAGACCCAGGAAGTCACTTTTGAATGTCAGCAATATAAATTTAAAAGTGAAGTTATTTGCTCATTCCTTCCTAGGTGTAGATTGGTCCTAATGGTTCAATTGTGCGAGAACAATGTAACACCAAAAATAAAGGGTAATAGAAATACTGTTCGTCTGTTTTATAATGGTCTATAATTGTTTAGTTTTCAACAGTTACGTAATGTCTGTACATTACCGTAAAGTAATAAACGATCCGAAATCCATTACAGTAAAAATCGTATCTCCATATTTGGTACACAGGTACCTATTTCAAATATGGAGATACGATTTTATTACTTCACTCGTTTATTTAAAAGAAGCATTATAGGTTTTGTACCATGTAAAGAAATATAGTGAACAGGTGGCTCATGGCGTGTTCCATCGTCGGCCACATCGTCGCTTACCACCAGGCGAGATGGAGGCCAAACAAACATCGACCTAAAAAAAATAACCAACTAGCTTCTGCCAGCGGCATCACGTGGGAAAAAAAAGAAAAAAATCATTTATTACACCACGACACACAACAATTATGTGAGTGTGTGTGTGTGTGTGTTACTCCAGGCCATATTATACTCCTGTTCCAAATTTGATCTTGATCGTTTCAGCCGTTTAGGCGTGAAAGAGTAACAAACACACATAGGTACCTACATTACATCGTCACAAACTTTCGCATTCATAATGTTAGTACGATTGTTATTGTTTGTTACAATAACTAAACATAAAAATGCCGAATCAGATTGTGAATTTGATCCTCTACTACTCGATTACATTTGCAAGTGTCAGATAGAAACATTTCCGTTGTTACTTTACCTAGAAATCGTTGGAATACATTCCTTTGAATACTAGATAGATCTAGTTTTAAAGTTGGGTGTAACTATTACAATGTACCGAATTATATTATTTACCCACATTAGCATGTATTAGAATTTTCTATTTTAATATTTTTCTGGTGTCCTAGGCCCGTCTTGACGCGTTTGCGTGGGAATTTTGAATAATAGTAATTATTTTTATTAAAATACGTTTTCTTTTTGTACCTATGTACTTAAATTGGTTTTATAAAGTTCGTCTGTCGAAGAGCGATTTAAGATATATGCATGCATTTTTTTTTAAGGGGGGAAAATCAGGGAGTGTCAGACTCTTACTGGCTAAAAACCACCCCGTTCCTTCTCCTGCACGTCGAGCCGGAGCCCCGGTTACCCGTTAGGTTCTCCGCGACATATATGCATGCATAGTATAATTAGGTTAATCATAAATTAATTATTAACCCGTCGTCGTCGTGTCTAATCTTAACGTGGATGCACGCGAGACGCAATGTATTTTCTATTGTGTCTCATATACAGGCATTCAAGCGGTTAAACCTACATAGGTACTGTTTAAGCAACAGTCAGTATAGGTACTACTAAAAGTTTTAACTGAAAATGGACTTCCAATGAGATGAGGTGCTATTACTAATTTACCATACCTAATCATCAATAGCCATGATGGATATCACAAAAAACAGAAACACATTTCATTACGTATTAAATATTCAAATCGATTGTAGGTAGAACTGAAGAGATAGGT